TATATATATATATATATATATATATATATATATATATATATATATATATATATATATATATATATATATATATATATACACACACACACACACACACACACACACACACACACACACACACACCTTTATATAATGAAACAAAAGCAATAATAAAATGGGAAAACTAGAGATTGAATGATGGTATTATTAAGAACGTTTAAATAATATTGTGTTTGGCATTGAAATAATATATTGGAATATTGAGCAATTAAATGAAAGAACATACCTTAATGTAAAATGTGTATTACTATCAGAATTATATAGATTTGATGATTGTAAAGAATACTATTAGAATAACCTTGCATGTTTAAATAATATTGTGATTGGTATTAGAACTGTGTATTGAAACATTGAACAATGAAATAATGAATGATTGTATCTTAATACAAATAGATGCAAAGAGTGAAATATGGGAGATAAGTTAAAAATGAACCGCACCAAAGTGGGTGAGAGATGTTGGATAGAAAGAAAACGTCTTTTAATATAAGAGTGATATGATTAAAAGTTAGAATAGAGATAGAAATAAGAGAAAGGGAGAATACACATATATACACACATATATACACATTTTTATATAATAAAATGAAAGCAATAACAAGAGGGAAGTTTAGAAATTGAATGGTATTATTATGTTTAAATAATATGGTGATTGGCATTAGAACAATATATTGAAACATAGAATAATTTAATAATGAAAGACTATAACTTAATATAAATGTGTACTATTATTAGAAATACATAAGATGGATGAATATAACAACTATGATTAATATTACTAATTTTATATGTATTAAAATGTATAACACCCAGGTGCCACACTGTTCACACATTGATATGTATATGTAAAATAAAATAAAGAACTTGAAAAAAGAAGAAGTTTGGATTCATATCCTTATTAGGGACAAGGATATGGATAAGGGGTAAGTGGTTTTAGATAATCTACCCCTTACATTTAGTTCCTGATCTATAAAAAAATAACAGAAGAAGCAAGCCACATCATGACTTGACTATTTAATAGTATATGTTGCACACACCCTAAGATTTTGAGGTTATCTGAAGAAAGTACCTTAGGTGGTGGGAGGAGAGAAAATAAACTATCAAACTGCTATGGAAAGTTCAATAATCATGTCTAAGGATCACAGAATGCAGAAGAGATGGGTTGTTATGTATTTGAACAACACTACAAACTGCATCCTACTACTAGGAAAGATTACACAGCATTTCACATTTTTAGCTTTGAAAAAATCTTTTGTCAAATAGTATAGTTCAGTAAGAAAGGAACCTTAGTCAACAAAAGGCAGCTCTCACTTTTCGCAGTATATCATTCTGTTCCACATTGTGTATTTTTCCAGGGCTTATTTCTCCTTTTAAAGTATATTCAAAGAACTTCCCACTGATGTTGACCAACAGAGTGGAATAAGCCCTGTCTTCCTGAGAACAGCTGAAAGGCTTGTCATGACCACTGGCAGGAGGTATGCCATATCTCAAGATTACTCCAACAATCAACCCTGAAAAACAAATAGGACCACGAGTTACATCCTACTGGGGCCATATAAGCTTTTACATGTTTTATTTTTAAGAAGGATTTGTCATTGACTGATTAAATTTTTATATTCGTTTTTGTGCTCTACACAAGGAGGATAGGTATACAGATATTTTTCTCATCATTGTAAGTACAATTATAATCACAACATTGTGCAAAGCAAGCTTAATAGGTTCAGTGGGGCATCATTTTAGAACTGCAGTACTGCCATATGTTGACATTTTAATTCCTATTTGGAAAATGAGGAAGTTCTATTTATAAATAATCTCATGTCCATAAACATACTAGATTTTTTTCTAAAACATTATGCGGGGAGTCATTCACCCTTCTTAGATTCAGTATACAGCAGTTTCTGATGACCTCCCAAACCATTCAGAACTTCTAAAAAAAACCCACATAAAATGCAAGTATTTGATCCTTAAAATGTCCTATCTTTATTTGACTTATGCTTGAGCAATTCACTGGCCAAAGCCCAAAACACACTGAGCAATTAAACATCAATTTGGAAACTGAAATGAATACATTTTCTTTAGCACCTTGGGTTCTGCAGTGATTGCAGTAACCAGCAGGTTGATTTGACAAGTTTCCAGCCTCAAAATGAATTCCACTTTTTTGTTTTAAAGAAGTATTGTAAAATAGGATTAAATAATCAGTTTGCTCACTTAAAAATTTCACAAAGCCCTTAATCTAAGTCCAAATGTATTTGGTTTTGTTATTTGTGACATTCTCATCATGTTAAACATTCTGCCAAAACCCTACACAGGAAGAGCAAGCAAAACAAATCTCATCATAGGTCTACGTTTTGACTTGAATATATTTATACTGAATATAAGAGTGGTCAGTATACTTTCTGAATAGTTGCTTCTAAAACTTGATCACAAAAATGCACCTGCAGAAGCAGCAAATAAAAGGAGAGAATAGTAACATCTAAGCCAAAATAATACATTTCTTAGAAAAATATGACAGAACATACAAAACAAACAGATATCCTGCACTTGTTTCACTCACATACAGATACTGCATAAATAGAATTTAAATGTAGAAAAACTGTAACTAGATACAGAATTAGCAAATCTGGGTGGTACATTTCTAGGAGATACTTTAATACTTCCAATAACAGAAGATCAAGAACAGCAGGAAAGTCAGTAACCAGTTTCTACTGAAAACAAGTATATCTAAATCCATTTGATCAAAGTCCAGTTTCTATGCCATAGAGATTGACCGAACATTTTTTCCAAGGAACATATTTCACCTAACATGGATTATCAGCAGGTAGAGATAGATGAAATTTGTTTCCTTAACATCCAATAACTGAGTGTCTCAAAAGATAGTTAGAGCTGATCTGTTTTTATTGTATTTGCTATTTGTATATTTAATTTCACTCTGTACTATAAATCACCTAGAGACAATTTTTTTTGTCCTGAAGTAGCCAATAAGCAGTATTCCAAAAGGAGATGAGTAAATCTGTTATTCCAAAAACAGAGGAAAATATAAGCATGCTAATTATGGCATAAACTTTTATTGATAAATTATTGACATGAGATCTTTGAAAATAGCTGTACCATATATCAGACCTGAACTTTGGAGAGAATGAAAAGGTAAGATTTGTTAAAAAAAACAAAACAAAACACAGAATTCTCTTAATCGCACTACAAATTTTTATGATCATTTAGGCAAAGTAGTTCAATAGTACCAGATAAATCATGTTATCAGATATATCTTTAAAGTATTTATTACATTTGGATATCTAGTGCGACTTCTGCCACCAATAGCCTCCCACCGGCCAGTTCGCTCCCACAGAGAGGGTCTCCTCAGGGTGCCATCAGCCAAGTTATGTCGGCTGGCGACACCCAGGGGGAGGGCCTTCTCTGTGGGAGCCCCAGCCCTGTGGAATGAACTGCCCCCGGAAATACGTAAGATCTCCGACCTCCGGATGTTTCACTGCGCACTGAAGACCCTGTTGTTCCGCCAGGCTGGGCTATCAACGTAATAATTTTAAACTGGGGTATTTTAAATTTGTGGGGTTTTAAATTGAGCCAAATTTATTTAATTATTTTAAATTTTTAATCGATGTTTTGTCTTGTGTTTTTAAATAGGCTGTACCCCGCCCTGAGTCCTTCGGGAGAAGGGCTGTATAGAAATAAAATTATTATTATTATTATTATTATTACCAATAGAGAAAAGAAATAGAAGTTCCAAAGGAAATCACATAACAAATATGAAAAATTAGGAATAACCAATATAGAACAACCCAACATGGATTATATTTCTAAAAACCATAGTTGATAAGAAAACATAGGATTCTAACAGTGTAAGACACTAGCCTGGTCAAGAGAAAGCATAAGCTTGGATCACAAGGCTATTTATTGTAGTGCAGTTTTGAGATCAGAAGAATTAACTAGAGAACAATGCTTTTCAAAAGAATGCCTGTTACAAAAGGATAACACCCATTCAATAATATGACATGAGCTTTGGTTTTTATAAAATTATTTTATAAAATTCAAAACACTCATCTTAGACATTTATATTTGTATGAAAGACTTCTTCAGTCAAGTGAATTTTAAAAATGCATAATCTAAATGGATTCAAAGAATGTCAGTAGAGAGCTTGCATTTTCCTTGCATGCTACATTTACTAAAAGGTAACAACACCTCAACAATCCAATGTGTAAACAACCCTTTTAAAAACGGTTGGGGAAATGCATTGCAATCCTGTTCTACTTTCTTGCTAAACTGCTCACATGAATTAGCAGCAAACATAAATCCGGAAAAGCTCTGCCTCTAAAAATAAAACCTAGGTAGAATAATTAGTGCATCTAATGAGTGGATAGCTTTTAAACTATAAGCTGGAAAGCAAGAAAAGAAATATTTGCTTTATTATTATTATTATTTTGCAAAAGTACCTAATTCTGAAAAAGAAAAAGAAAAAAACCATGAGCTGCAGATGGATATTTTGAACTTAGAATTTTTCTGTAATTATTGCTGGCATGCTGAAGCTAAGAATTTGAGAGGTATGAGAAAAATGGTGCTAATCCTTAAGGCTGTGGTTATGAATGACTGAAGCGTGGGAGGATGAAAGTTAGAATCTGCACAGAAGTTCACTTCTGATCTTCTTTAGGGACTCGCTGATTGTTCATATAAAGCCCTGTGGAATAATGGAACTCTACCTAGTTTGACCCTGTTTCATCATATTGGCAAGCATTCTTAAGGCAATCAATTGCCACTGTAAGAGGCCACTTTAATTGCACACTTCCAACATGTGGGCTAGGTTTCTAGGTTAGTTGAATTTTTAAGGCCTACCTTCATAGGTATTTTAGCAGAAGTGTGATTACATAATAAAGAACAAAGGCGTCTCAGCCAATCAAGCTCCCACAGGGAAACCCTATATATAGAGTGAGGGCAGCCTTTGCTCTGCTCAAACAGCAGCCCTCTGGTGACACAGGGGGGCTTTATCAAGATGACAGTATTAGCCCAGCATGTCTGCAGACCTATTCACATTCAGAAATGAACAACCAAAGAGAAGGAATATCCTTTTGAAATGTTTGCTTCCAAATCCAAACAGTGCTTGAAAAGATAACATTTGTTTCTCTGCAGCACCTGAGGCTTTTTTCTGCTGAACTGACAGAGAAGAGACTGGCTTCTACCCATACATAACCTGGCAGGTTTGTTCGAATTCATGGCCTCTCCTGTTCAACCGGTCTTTTTGTTTGTATTTGGTCTTCAATATGGGAAGCAGAGGGAGGCAGGAAAGGTAAATGACAAGGACAACAGGATGATGCAATGTACAGAAGGGAATTAATCTTTCCATTTGCTTGATATCCCTGTCTGCACTAAAGTAAACAGAAACCAATCAATAAGGAACTTGTTTCATTCTAAAAAACATTTTAAAAAAAGCATATCTAAAAAGGGGCAATGTAAAAAACCATGAAGTATTAGGATTTCTCCAAAGGATAACAGGAAATATATTTCTATGGGCTTTATTAAATAACAACCATCTTATGAAACTAACGATCCAAGTAAAAGTAGAGAAAAAGAGCAGCAATTATTTATCTTGTTGTATTTTTACCCTGTCTTTCTTCTGGAGGCTCAAAGTGACACACAAGGATTTCTCTTTATAGTTTGTAAGTTATTGTTGCAACACCCTGATGAGGAAGAAGACAGTGACCAGCCCTCTGAATTTCATGGGTAAATGGCTTTAACATTGTTTTTCTTTCTTTCTGGTAGTCTTAACACATTAGTCACAACTGCAAAATTCTGAAAAACCTAAACCAGAGAATTTATGCACTGCTTATCTATTATCTAACAGGTGTCTGGTGCAAGCCATTGTGATGTCATCACCATACAAATGATGTAAATTCTGTAATTTGCTCATATTACATAATCCATATCATTGTGTGATGTCATAATACCATCACTCCCACCTCCTCCCACTTGCAGAGGTTGATGTCTGTTACCACCTTTAAGTTTCACTTAGCCATACTGTATATCATGCTCTTAAACCCATTTTCCTTTTCTACCAAAGTGAAAAACTTTCCTTTCCATAAGATGCCTAATTAAATCAACAAAGGGAGATGAAAAGATGATGTCACTAAAAAAGGATCCATTGACTCAATTCATTTAAATGTCAGTTAAAATGGACTCAGTGCACAGGGTTAAACTAATTAACTTGTGTCATAGCAATACTTAAAACGGTCCATTCATCTACCTTTCATATCTATTCAAAGCAAAATTGCTAGAAAAGACCATACAGCTGAAAAAACAGAGCACTTGCTACAAAGACCAGGGAACACACTAACCTCATAATCTTCAAACATTATTGATGCCTTTCTAACCATATGAGAAAGAGCCAATGATGTAATATAGCCTTGTTCCATATTCCCCATATTGTATTTTTTTTCTTTAATTTGATGAGATTGTGTGCGGTCATGCTTAAACCCAGGAGATTTGACTGGTTTAATAACTTTTGAAATAAACCTGTTATCAGAACAGGTCCATTTATCTCTAGTCAAGGAGAAACTATGTTCCTTCAACATACTAAAGCTATAATTTCCCTATTGACTATACAGACATTTCCACTGACATTCCTCTTTTTTTAAAAAAAAAAGTATTCACAATCAGTGCATAGTATATATACTTGCTTTTCTAGTTTTTTAAACATGTTTTTTTTCCCTTTTTTCTCAACTGCCTAAAAATAAACTTCAGGTGAGACCTGAGATCATTCCAAAACTAGAAAATAATTATTGCTGGTAGCATTGTCGTGTCTATTCAGGAGCAAAACCTAATACAGGTCCAGATTGATTATCTAGGTTTCCTTGAACATTTTAATTGGAATGTAAATTGATTAATGAGAAGGGCTCAAGACCCTGAACATTTTAAAAGTATAATATAAAATGTTCCAGGGCAAAAGAGTAGGACCACAGGTTCAATAAACCCTCATTCTTTCAGTATCATAACTGATATATTCTGTAGATGTCCAGCATTATGAAGAGAGTTTGGCACATAACAAGGACTTCAAGTGTATATTGGAACAGTAAAATGCATGTGCATTGGGCGCCTATAAGCACCCAAATCACATATATTTATTGTCAGATTCAATTACCAATGGCTTTCTAAATGCAAATAAACATTGTTCAAAAAAGTAAGCACCATGCATGTACTTTTTTGGAGAACCAGCTTGTAATAATTGTTAAAGGCCCTGAAATAGGAACCAGATAGTTATGACTTCTAGGTATGCCTTAAGACAGGGGTAGGCAAATGTGGCCCTTATACAACCTGTGGACTTCAACTCTCAGGGAGTTCTGGGAGTTGAAGTCCACAGGTTGTAAAAGGGCCACATTTGCCCACCCGCCTTAGGCACAAGTTCCCCTCTCTCAGAATTAAGAAAAAGGCAATGACAACTACTTTCAAAAGTCTTGCCAAGAAAACTGCGTAAGTGGCTGCATTTACACATTGCATTAGTCATAAAACGGTTAGTTTTGTTTTACATGCTGACTAAATGTAATTGATCTCTAATCCATTTTCAGGAAAGATCTAAGGTGCAGATAGTCCTTATGACTAGAATTGGGACCAGAATTTCCATTGTTGCGGCCATAAGTCAAAGTTGATTTTACAATACTTTTTACAGTGGTGGTTAAGGGAATCCCTTGGTTCTTAGGTGTATCCAGCTTTCCCATGGGTTTTTTTTTTGGCGGAAATCAACAAAAAAAAAGGTGAAAATTGTGATCATGTGACCATAAAACACTGCAATCACTTGTAAATGCGAGCTGGTTGTCAAGTGCTGAACTGTGTTCACATGACCATGAGGGTGGAGCGACGCTCATAACTGACCGTACAGGTTGTAAGTCACTTTTTCAAAGTTCGTTGTAACTTTGAACCATTGTTACCCAGTTGTAAGTTGAGGACTACTTGTAGCTGGCATAGCATCAAGTCAGAGTACAAAACTTTAAGCCTAATTAAATTATTTTGTCCCTATATGTGTAATTTATCATTGTCAAATTTATCACAATGTTGATACAGATTTTAAATTGATATATCACAATGCAAACATTTTTGCATTTATAAATACAGCATTTATAAAAAGATCAGATTTAGATCTATTTCATTATTTTCAAGAGTAGGATCCATTAACAAAGCTGGATGCAATCTTAGCATTTTATTTTTAAAAAGTAATGAAACTTGGAATTTGCTGTCCACAGTGTCAGCTGTAATTTGAACTTTACTCCTGATTTCCTCCAAGGCTTGGAGCAACTCATTTTGTTCCCTATCAGCATTCATCTCTACAGCAACCTTCCTCTGAGATGGGTTAGGAAATCCATCAATGATTCATCCAATATCAAGCAGGAGTCTTCTGTTAGCCCGGAGATTAAATCTGATGTCTCACATTTCAAACATTTAAATGATACCTGTCTTTATTGCAGACAGAACAAACAAATAAACCTTAAGAGGATCTTATTCTCTTGAAGGCATTCTTCTAATACAAACAGCAACTAAGAAAGATTAAAGAATAGTTAGGCCCTCTCTTTCTTCAAAGCATACATTTTAATTGCATGAATTGAATCAATAGGACATCCATTTATTTAGATATTTTTAGAAATGTAACAACTATTTTACAAAACTCAATTTAAGATAAATCTAATCTGAATCAAAGCACTCTACAATTTGGTTAATATTATTTATATTACCATTTGACTAATATTATTTATACTATTTTCCTTTGACTTGTCTTTATATTTGGCAATCAGACCTCTATATCCTCAGAGAATGAAAAACCCTAATATACTGATATTTTTTTAGAATTGGGCAAGTTAGCCCTGAGTTGGAAATACTTAATAAATCAGAACACACCTATGTTCCCCATTATAAGGGAACACAGGGGAATTAATTTATGTTATTAAATTAGCAGTACTTTATCTGAAGAAAACTGCAAGTATTTCTTTATGACTCAAATACAGAATGAATAGAATACTTTAGTCAATACATTTTTTTATTTGTGGCTAAACTTGCAGACTGCAATGTTTGAGTAGCACAACAGCTAGTGTCTCTTAAGAGACAGTCTTTGCCCTAAGTTCTATGACACTAAAACTATTGCTCTCACAAGGATGAAAAACTGAAGAAAAGTATGCCCAATCACAATTAACTTTTCTACAATATAATCTGAAATTCAGTAAGTAGATATATGTAACTTGCTTAGGTTGTAGCGATTTTATTTGACATTTTCTATGTGAGACTGTTGCCTTCCTTTGTTGATCCCAATCTCTTATTTTCTCAGATTATCTCCTTTTCTAATCTATGGAAAGTGAAAGCACATATGAATAGACCAGAAGAGAACAGGGTGGCCTCGTGCTCTTTTGAATTTGGCCCTCTGAATCACCAACTGACAGTGGATCTCAGAAAAAAAGGAAGATTTCCTTTTCCTCAAATTAGAAAGTTTTAACAATTAAATCTTGGATCAAGTTTGAATTCTGTCAGACATACAAATTTTACTGTACAATCTCCATCTTCTAAGAACATATGAACCCAGATCAAAAACCTTTGCCACCAACGTCTAATTCTATAAAGTGATCCAGAAAGGTAGATAGTTCTCGACTTACAATCACAATTGAGCCCAAAATTTATGTTGATAAACGACGCATCTGTTGAATTTTGCCCCATTGTACAACCTTTCTTGCCACAGTAGTTAAGTAAATCATTGCAGTTGTTAAGTTAGTAACATGGTGGTTTAGTGAATCTGGTTTCCCCCTTGACTTTGCTTGTCATAAATTCGCAAAATGTGATCACATAATCCCAGGACACTGCAACCGTCATAAATGTGAGTCAGTTGTCAAGCATCCAAATGTAAATCACATGATCATGGGGATGCTGCAACGGTTGCAAGTGAAAAATGGTCATATGTCACTTTTTCAATGATATTGTAATTTTGAATGTTCACTAAATGAACTTTGTAAATTGAGGAATACCTGTGCTATGAATCTCCTTCCCGAAGCTAATATACTCTTGGTATTGAATTTCGTTTCATCTAGAAGCTCTGGGAGTTGTAGTTTCAATTGAAAGCACCTTTTTATTTTATGATTAAAATGAAAAAAAAAAAAAAAAAAAACCTGTCACAAATGCAAATAGGACCTTGTGTACTTGCAGCCTGATGTTGGACATAAATACATATACCGTATCTAAGTGTCATAATGTTACGATGCAAGTTGCATCAGGCAAGTTGCCTCTTCCATTGCTTGAAGATCCCAACACTCTTGGAGGGCACTAAAGAGGGGAAGGTTTACCTAGAATTCATAGGGCAGTGGCAGAAGTAGTAGTAAAGAAAACACTTTACTCCTCAGCTTTTTGGCCCAAGTTTTTTATATGAATCATGTTCCATTGACTCTCAAGCATATCTTTTTAAAAACATTAATACCACAATATAATATTACTAATATTCTAATTACTCTACCCCGTTTCCCCGAAAATAAGGCATCCCCTGATAATAAGCCCAATTGAGCTTTTGAACGCATGTGCTAAAAAAATCCCCCCCCCAAAAAATAAGCCCTTCCCGCAAATATTTAAAGGCATGAGCAGCCGGTCTCCACCATTTCCTCTGGTTAGGGTTAGAGACAGAGCTGGAAATCAGGTAAGACGGCAAGAGGAACACCCCTCTTGCTCCACTCACCCCAAAATAATAAGACCTCCCCGAAAATAAGGCCAAGCGCTTATTTCAGGGTTCAAAAAAATATAAGACAAGGTTTTATTTTCGGGGAAACATGGTAATACTTAAGAAAGTGTGTCAAAACCGATATGAGTCAGTGTCTTCTTCATTCTGTAAAAGCATAGCACTATAACAAAATATTTCACTGTCCAGTAATAAACTATTGGAAACTATCTCAAGCATATCATTAATCTTCTTCGTACATAATGGAATACACATTTTCATCAATTTTTATCTGTCAGTTTCAATCCCTACTTATGCAAAAGATTCAATAGTACAGAAACTTCTAGAAAGCTGTCTATCCAAGGACAACAAAATGCAGAGATTCATTAATGCGTTAAGTATATGTAACCTGAATACTGTCAATATAACTTACATAGAGTGGTTGTTCTGAAGGAATATGTCAATCACACAAAGTACTTTCAGTTTTAATTCATTCCATTATCATCTACTTAAAATAATGCTTTTTCAATAGTATACATTCCATATTACAACTATTGAACACCTGCTAAAACAACATATAATATTTAACCACTCCTGGCATTGTATGTTTTATTACACAGATGCTGGGCCAATCCACTCTATTATTTTAGTTTGCAAACAGAACCCTAAAAGCTTCAGGTCAACCAGCTACACAGTGCCCTATGGCTGGATTTACAATGGGAAGCCAAATTCAAAGGAGCAGATCATGTCTTAGAACAAGAGTGCTGCATGTGTAATACCCAGAGCACCTTCACCAAGCTGATCTCAGTTTCTATAATTTTGAATTTTTTGTTGTTAGTTGCAAAGTCGTGTCCGACCCATCGCGACCCTATGGATAACATTCCTCCTGGCCTTCCTGTCCTCTACCATCCTCTGGAGTCCATTTAAGCTCACATAAAAGCTATCCAGCAAACCCTAAAGTAAGCATAGTTCTTTTTTTTAAAATGAAATTATGTAGTCCTATCTGTTTTGCAGCTCCCCCAAACCAAAATATGTCCCTTATCCATTAAAAGGTTGCCCATTCCTGTCCTAGTATGGTTTATTCATAGTTAATTATAGTTAAATCAAAATGGAAATCTAGTCTGTATTGCAGCAACTTGCCCTCAAACCATACACTGACTCAGAACATTGCCATGACTTAAACATCCTATACCTTGATGGATTTAGTCAAATCAAACTGATGACCCTCACTGCATCTTGTGGCAATGGGTGAACTTTGTACACTTACTGATGGTGGGAATGAGTTATCTTAAAGAACCTGACATCGTATTACATGTAGTCCTCAATTTTGATCATAATGGAGCCTTAGAACTATTGTCACAAATCATACTGGTCATTAAACAAGGTACCAATGTGATTGTCTCGCTTAATGACCTCAATCCTTGCTCTCCCCACTGTGATTTTTAAGTGACCGTTTGGGTTGTTAAGTGGAGCACTGGGTGGCTCAGGGGTAGGGGAGACCCTGGGAAGCCTAGCATAACCACAAGCTTGCACTGTAGCATCTTGCCTACCTGGTCTAAGGTATGCAGTTTTTAATAAGTCACTTTTTTGTATGCATTGTATAACAGTTCATTTTTGCTTCCCTCCCCTCAAGGTACAATTTGCCAAATGGTGATCTTTTCTTTGCAGGGAAAATGACTATTGAATAGCCCATTTAACAAATGAATGCACTACATATTTTTGAAGAAGTGCTTTATGCCATCTTGTCTCTTCACTTGCAAGAAACTTGGATTTTTTAAAATTGTTGCTACATATAGAATTGTGTGCACTGAGCTGCCCACTCTGCTTACACCTTCTCCAAATATCCCTTCTAAGTGGGAAAATTCTCATTAGGCCAATAAATTGAAAACTGAGAGAATCTGTGTTCTACAGCTAGAGATCTTACAGAAATATTATCTGCTTCCACTTCGCTGATTAAGAATGAGACTGAAGGAGGAAATTACCTAAAATTTCTTTCCCAGATGCTTGCAAGAAAAGTTAATGATGCATTATTTATTCTCTTTCATTCTCTTCCAGTTTGGACATCTGCTGAAAGGCCTAAGTGCTCTATCACCATGTTAGTGCATTGATGGTTTACATACAGTAAGTTTATATAGTTATTAGTCACCATCAAAGCTGACAGCAGCCAAATCATAGAACAACGTAAAGAAGCAGTACAAGATCAGAAGATGTGGTGAGACCTGGCCAAAACTCAGACACAACTGAATGGATAACATCAACAGCAGCATAACATACAGTTACAAGGACACAAGGCAAACTCTATTATTGTTTAGATTTGCCAGTGATGGGCAGGGGAAGAAATACTGCATTTCAAAAACTTCTTTTTTTCTCAACAACATATCCTAAATGCAGTCCATTATTTTAAGTTTATCAAATTGTCCAAGTATATGAGACTTAATTCTTACTGAATATGCAAGATATTGTCAACTAAATATACGAACAACAAGACAATCAGTCTTTTCATGAATTGCCATTCTCTATCACTCCTACTCTTAGTTCATCTTTTGCAGATGCTGTTCTCATCAATGGCTCCTTTCTTCTTCCAAATGGTCAAACAGTGCCAAGTGTAATTCCCGAAGGAAGCCTACACTTCAAAAAGCAGTATTCTAGAAATTATTTCCGTACTAGACTAATTTAAAATATCCAGAATTCTGTCTGGAAAAAGATAAATTGTAATTTCAGTGATAAGTAACCAGTTGTCATCTCTGTTTCAAATGTTATTTGCTCTGTCCTCTGCCATGAAATCAAAAGGGGTTTTGAGTAATTCCCATTATCATTTGGTGGTATGTGTAGTCCTTGGCTTATGGACAAATTGGAACTGGAATTTCCATCATAAGCAATGTGGTTATAAAGTGCAACTGCATCTGTCAGACCTGCCCAAGTTTGATCCCTGAGGGAAGTAAAACTCTTGACTCCATTTGGTTAAAGTGAAAAGGCACTTTTATTAAGAGATAAAAGGCACTTTTATTAAAAGTCAAACGGAATCTAAAATTCCTGCATGTCAATACAGAACTAAACCCCTGGTTTCCCTAGTCCTTCCCCCGAGGTTCGTCCATGTGTAGAAAATCCAGCACTGCCAAGATGTTTTGGGAAACACTGAAGTGATCAGGTTGGTGAAATTCTACTCTCAGGGCAAATGGCCTTGAATATGCCAGCACACCAGCACAAACTGGATTCCAAAATGCTCTGTTCTTCCTCAACTGTCAATTCCCCCCTCCCAATTTCCCATAATAAAGGCATACAGCTTTATTGCCCATTTGTTCCCCTCGTCCTTCCCTGATGGATGGTAGAATGCCAGCAAGGCGCCAAGCCGAAGCTGGTGGATCTGACTGCATCACTTGGCGATGGCAATCCCTGAAGTCTCGGTTGCCATTGTTAACTCAATTGCATAGTAGTTATGTGAGGCAACATCCAGGAGACTTCCCACAACCAAAACCAGTGAGGTGCATGGAGATGCAGGGAAGTGTTAAGGAGGGTACATGAGGGTGAGAGGGATGTATGAGAAGTAGGGGTCAGGTGTAACCATGTACAACAGGCTCTGCATGGATTGAGGAGGGTGTGTAGAGGGATGTGAGTGGTTGACACAATTCAAGCACAGAAGGATTTGGGGAACAGTGTGTGGGTAGGGGAAGAGCTATCCTAGTGACTTGTGGCATTCACTGCTGGCTTTCTTACTGACTTTTTTTAATGACTTTCTTTTATTGACTTTCTTATTGACTGGGGAAGCCAGAAGGGAAGATTGCAAATGGTTATCACATGATTGTGGAGTTTTTGGCAACCAGTAGTAAGTGCAAATGGGTTACCAAGCTCAGATCATGGTTATATGACCATTTAGGATGCTAGGACAGTTCCATGTAACCACCATTTCTTCAGTATTGTCATAACTTGGAATGGTCACTGGCGTAATGGTTGAAGGTTGAGGACTATCTGTAACAATCATTCGTAATTAGGGTACACAAACCAAATGATGAGATAATATTATTCATGTGAAAAAACATACAGTGTATACTGAAAATGGAACCATTCCTTGTCAGAAGTTTTTTAATTAAAAATCAGAGTTCACTTTGTACAACCAAGATGATTTAGGACAACCCAAAGATTATGGACTTAGATTTTGTATAGCAGATCCCTGCATCATGTCCCTAGCTGTACCGAAACTCTGCCCATCTTCAGAAGCAAACAAAATACTATGTAGCTCATATGAAATTTCCCCCAGAATTTCCCCCACAAAAGCAAAAAGAGGAACAGGACAAAGGTGTTTACAGCAGAGAAACAGTACAGATAGCCCTCAATTTACAAACATCTGTTTAATGATCATTTGAAGTTACAGCAGTACCGAAAAAAGTGATTTATGAGCAGTTTTACACTTACTTTCTTGCTGTTAAGGAAGAAATGGTAACACTTTTCTCTGCAAACAACCAAACCCTGAGATTAATATTATGCTGATTGAAATTCAAGTAGGAAGAACTGCCATTCTGATTAGTGGTGCACAGTTGCAGCTGGTTAACTTGCACACATTCATATCAGTACTTTCCTATGTGACAATCCAGGTAGACCTCGACCTACAAGTTTATTTAGTGACTGTTGAGAGTTACAACCAGAGGTGAGTTGCAGCAGGTTCTGACCAGTCCTGGAGAACCAATAGCGGAAATTTTGAGTAGTTCGGAGAACCAGTAGTAAAAATTCTGACTGGCCCCGCCCCCATCTAGTCTCTGCTTCCCAAGTCCCAGCTGATTGGGAGGAAATGAAGGTTTTGCAGTATCCTTCCCCTGGAATGGGGTGGGAATGGAGATTTTACAGTATCCTTCTCCTGCCACGCCCACCAAGCCATGCCCACCAAGCTATGCCACACCCACTAAGCCACACGCACAGAACCGGTAGTAAAAAATTTCCAAACCCACCACTGGTTACAACGGCACTGAAAAAAACGATTTATGACCGTTTTTCACAGTTACAACCGTTGCAGCATCCCCATGGTCACGTGATCAAAATTTATATGCTTAGCAACTGGCATGTATGACAGTTGCATTGTCCTGGGGTCATGTGATCACCATTTGTAATCTTCCCGACAGCTTCTGATAAGCAAAGTCAACGGAGGAAGCCAGATATGCATACTGACTGCCGTGACTCACTTAACAAATGCAGTGATTTGCTGAACAACTGTGGCAAAAAGTCATAAACTGAGGCAAACGCATTTAACTTCCTTGTTTAGCAATAGAAATGTTGGGCTCAATTGTGGTCAGGTTGAGGACTAGCTGTAAAAAGATGGATGATACTTAATTTTTCCATTCAATCCTTCTCCTTACCAACTACTTCACTGAAAAAAATAGTTTTAAAAACAGAACAATCAGTAAGGCAGATAAGATATCCCGAGAGGGAAAGGTTAGGGAAAGAAAGAAGTTGCAATGAAGAGATCATAGGAGAGTGAGTGATTAAGTATCTCTCCTCTCACTCTCCACAGCTCCCCTTCATAGGTCTTCCTACTTGATTTGGTCACATCGAACAAAAACACAGGTTAAGAAACTTATTTTCCCAAGATCTTGGCACTCGTTTCTTTATTTGCTTCAGAGTTTACAGCTAGTCCATGTGCTGTCCTGCTCACTCGTGCACACACATAACAATTTAGTAAGTTTATTAATATTTCCCAGCAATTCCCTTCACCCAGAACTGTCCCAGTTAAGTCCAGCCAAAAGTAGACCAATGCTAGTCCACAGAGCAATGGCCACAAGGCATCTGAAAGTTTCCCAAACAAGACAAATCCACCAGGTAAAATTAAATTCACAACACAAGAGGATTCACAAGGCAAGAAAAATCCAGAGATCACAAGACATGTTCCAAAATCAGGGCACTCTGGCAATCCAAAGCAAGGCAGGAATCACAACAACCAGGAAACACGCAGTTAGGAAATGAACATGTTGTCCCCGCCATCGTCTCCCTCTGTCTGCTGTGCTAAATAGCCAGGCTCTGGTACAGCCCATCAAGAGGGATGAGGCTGCCTCCTCATGAGTAATCAGGATGACCTTTGCTGCTCCTGCCTTTTGTCTGCCCTTGGATCAGATGCAGAAGGCAGTTCCTCTTCCTCATCAGATTGGCTGCAGCTGTGTACTTTCTGCACCTGAAGCCAGAGGGCTGCCCTGCTGCAGCTGCTCTTTAGCCAAATCCTTCTCAGACAGCTTCTCATTGACCAACTCCAATCCTGATACACCTGGGACTGGTTCATCCTCCTCTGAAATGACACCTGGAGAGGTATCTGGGGATATGTCCAGGGGAGTCATCACACTACACACTAGAATTAGTGGTTTTCAATATGGTGCAATGAAAATGCTTAAAGACTAGAGGTTGAAGTGGCATTTTATGATAGCAACTTACCTTTGCCTTCTCCCTCTCATAAATGTAATGTTCTCAAAAATGTCCACAAAACTGAGACCTCAACATAATCTCCAGGTACTCAGTGACTGGCCAGGCCAAGCCAGCCCAGGATGCACTCTGCTGGCGACATCACACCCTCAACAATAACCGATGGAATGCCTGTTCATAGCTATAAATGAAACTTTTGCATTGCTGTTCAATATGGCATATTTTCCTTTAAAAATATTCTTATTTTATGGACAAGCTATAAAATAAGAATATTAAGAGAAGTGAAAAAATACAATATTGGTGTAAAGATTCAGACTTACCTAACCCCTATATGAAGCGTGCAAGTTTCTGCATTGGTATATTGTGAGTGTGATATCGCCAGCAAAGTGCATACTGAGGACCTGCAAGGAAGAGAAAAATGGAAACTATCAGTCCTGGTTGTGACTTTGAATCACATTTTGGGAAATAGATACATTTCTACACCATCCTCCTTTGGAACTGTGCAATGCATTTAACCATTAATGTGTGCAATGTTCACACGCTAAATCCAAGATATATTCATTAGGATACTATGTAAGCTCAAAGACAAATAAAAACAATCAATTGTCTACTACAGGTAGTCCTCGACTACAATTGAGCCAGTGGTGGGATTCAAGTAATTTAACAACCGCTTCTCTGCCCTAATGATTTATTCCAACAACCAGTTTGCCAAATTGCTCAGAAAGTTAACAACCGGTTCTCCTGAAGTGGTACGAACCGGCTGAATCCCACCACTGAATTGAGCCCCAACTTTTTGTTAAGTGAGACATTTGTTAAGTGTGTTTTGCCCCATTTTACGATCTTTCTTGTGCAGTTGTTAAGTGAATTACTGAAGATGTTAAGTTAGTAACCTGGTTGTTAAGTGAATCTGGCTTCCCACTTGACTTTGCTTGTCACAAGGTCACAAAAGGGGATCACATGACCCTGGGACACTGCAACTGTCATAAATATGAACCAGTTGCCAAGCATCCAAATTTTGATCACATGACCATGGGGATGCTGCAACGGTTGTAACTATGAAAAACGGTAATAAGACATACTTTTCAGTGCCTTCATAACTTTGAACAGTCACTAAATAAACTTGTAGGTCTAGGACTACCTGGATTGTCCCATAGGAAAGTAATGATATGAACGTGTGTAAGTTAACCAGCTGCAACTGTGCACCACTAATCAGAATGGCAAGTCTTCCTGCTTGAATTTCAGTCAGCATAATAGTAATATCAGGTTTTGGTTGTTTGCAGAGAAAAGTGTTACCATTTCTTCCTTAACAGCAAGAAAAGGGAAAAGAAATAACAC